ATTAAATTAGAGCATGAAGCCACTGGATACACCCCAGCAAAGTCGATGTTTGGTGGGGAACTTCGGTTGCCTGAAAATGTGTCAGAGTTCGTAAAAGTGTTATCGGAAAGGATGGATGATATTCACCATCAAGTGCGTTCAAACTTGAAAACGTCTGCTGATTCGATATAGTTAACTTATGATAAGAGATCTACTGAAGTCAGCTTTGTACCAGGAGACAAGGTATGGTTGTATAATCCCAGAAAGACCAAAGGGAAGTCTCCTAAGTCGTCTTCTCCATGGGTTAGCCTATATGACATAGTGGATCGTCTCTCAGACTTGACGTTCCGAATAAAATGTGGTCAGCGAGATAAGCCAAAGGTGGTGCATGCCAACAGGCTTTGGCATTATCACGGTTCAGTACATTCAACAATAATAAAATTACTGTTAGTGTCAACCCAAATTGACATATTTATCCCAACATTACTGCCATCTAGGGTTCACAAAAAATCCACTAAATTAGACAAACCCTAATTAAAACAAAAATATAGCAAAATGTTAAACATTTCGCTGGATTAATACAGTCTATGTTGATTTCTCAAGCTGTTTTAGAGTACATTCTTCCATCTGCACTTCAGGAAGACTGGTATATACTAACTAGACCATTAGGCTAAATCTTGCAGATTTATGCTGATTTGCGCATGAAGTTAACTACAACCAAACATTCGCCACAAAACATAACCTGAATGCTTGGAAAAAAAGAATTGCAAATTAATTTCAACTTGTATCAGTGGAAATTTAAGCTTACTTCACTAGCCATCATTAACAGTTGGATACAACTGTGACTTTTCATAGGATTTTCCTCTAACACTAATAACTGTCCTAGTTTTGTATTTGGCTTGGCATGATCTGCTCTGCGGAAATTTCGCTATAATTCTACTGGATTGATTGAATGATTATCTTAAAACGTCAATCAAATATCTTGCTTCGAAATATAGCTTGGCAGCTCAAAAAGTAAGGGTTATAATAATCAAGTAAACATTGCATGATATTCTACATTTATATCCTATTATGAAACAACACTTGATATCTTGGAAAGCATGAAATGCCACCTCCTTATGGAAATTGATTTTTCAATCAAGTAATTGCCTAACAAGCATTTAATTTCAACAATACGGAGTAGAAATTCATCACCAGTGTCTCAGTAGATAATTAAAGCAGATTTGCTGCTTCTACACTGTTATTTCCTCATCTAACTTTGAATCTCCACAAACAGTCAGATATGTATTACGAGTGTCTTCCTCATTGTTATCTGAGACGAAACTACAGGAAACAGTACTCCCATCGTCAGAATCAACTTGCTCATCCACCTCTGATCAGTTCTCTAGAGATTCATCAGGGATGTAGAGTTTCAGTTTGCCCTGTAACCACTATAAATCATGCTTCATTTCATTGAACTGTCGAATAACAATATATTGATCAGTTAAGCCATATCTGAGTTGTTTCTGCACTGTAGGTGTGCACCACAACTATACCAATTCATCATACTTGAACTTTTATCACGACACCAATTTTGATGTATAGCTGCTTTACCCATTTTCTGCCATAGTAAATCATGCACATGTAGTGCATCAATTTTACAGATTCCTGTGGACATTACAGTATTTCTGCACTGGGTGGAGGGTCATATATTAGAGCCACCCTGAGCTGTCCTTTTTGTCTACACATCAGGCGATTGAGAGAACAACCAATTGACTGTTCTTCAGTTACATGAAATGACATCATGACATAAGATAGGTGTTCATCAAATTAACATATTCAGAGTTAACAAACGCTAGTAAGCATACACTGGACAGTTCGAACTGCCCTTTTAGTTAAACCAGTGATGATACAGTGAAGTGCATTTTCACCACACCCAACATTTGACACACTTTTGCAAACAACTTGCTGGTCTTTGATCTATGTGGATCTCTCCAATTGTATCTAAGCATGAAACCCATGACATTAATGGGTACAGCTTAAGAAATCCTGGACCACTTTCTCATTCGTTTCATACAGATCACTGTTTGAAATGAAGAGACTCTGGGACAGCAATGCAATGTCTGATGCCCAAGCTGCGTGTTTCAATGCTTATCCAATCAAGCATTTCGATAAGGAGAAAAGAGCTGAAAGTAATTATTTGGCTGTTCACAATGAGCCAGATGAAGAAGCATCAGATTTAGAGGTAAGAGAAAACTCTGACAGTCGGCTGTGTCCCTGCTGATGGCCCCCACTCAGTATGGGAGCGATCAAAGCAATTCATACCAGTTAGGATAATCTTTAAATCGAGTGCCCACTGATTCAAACAAAGTGTTTATCCTTGCTTTCTAAGCTATCAAGTGATATTCACCAGACAATGTACACACTACATTGTGTATTTTTCACTTGATTACCATGAAGCTAAGATGGTTTGTGTCAGTAGATGTAATGTCTATGACATCACCAGTTTACACAAATGGAGATGATAGTTAAGAGTTCGAAAATACAGCTGAAGCGATGTTGTTACCGTTGCTTTTTGAGTTATCAGGTGATATTGTAAGGTACAGTGTATGCACTACATTGTATGATTACCATTCGATTATCTGAAGTTAGGACAGTTTGTTGATCGCAAGATGAGTAGTACCAAAAGGATTGTGCAACCTTTACTTTCTGATATACGAGTAGACATTTATGACAAGAAATCTCCGGATGAAATTTGGATGATAGTCACTCAATTAACACAGTTTAGGATGGCTGATGCCAGTAGTTATAATGTCTAATGCATTAATAGTTTGCACAACTGAATGTGGTAGTAAGGAGTTCGAAAATACCGTTGAAAAGGTTTTGTGATACTTTCTTTTTTACCTGTTAAGTGTTTTTTTTCAGAGGTGAGATGTCAGAGACATTTTTAAAGAACCAATGATCTGATCTAGTACAATACAAGAACTTTGGTGTCGGTACACTAAAAAAAGGCATACAACTTCTTCACATGCTGTGGGAGAAGAGTATTTTGTATGAATGTATACTAATATACTCAATAGTAACAGTAAGAATAATCAACCCTGATTAAAAAGTCTTAGTTCAGCCAAACTCTGTCTATGATTATGTATTTTGTGATGCATGAAAAAAAGAAACCACTCAAGTTTGATGGGTTTGGAAAGTAGCCCTAGATGGTTATGAAAGAAGTTGAGCAGGAGCCGAAGGCGGTCTGTTAGAAAACTATTAGTGTATTTAGGGACGTTATGCAAAGTATTCATGAGTGTTGTATAGTATTAATGAATCAATTGCATAATAAACAAAATTATTAAGCCACATATGATTGAAACAAAGGATTTGATCAGGATATTAAGATTTTGTGATATGGAGCTAACTGTGATTACTGAACTGACTTTTATTATTCGAAAATGCAGCGTACGTGTTATTCTCATTAATACTCGCGAGAGAATGTTTCAATTTTGACATCAATATATTTGGCAGGTAGGGAAGCAGCTGCTTTCTGTTTTGGTTCTTTTTTCCTGTAAGCACAGTGTGAGATATTTCGATCGTTTCGAATAAATATGTTTGAATATTTGAAGTTATTATTAATGTATGAAATTCACAGAGAACAGCTTAAATGCCATAACAGATATATAACTAGTGTACCCAGTATTGTATTCGTTTGTTATAGAATATTTTCAATAATGCAGATATTATAAATGCTCAGTTTTCTAAATGTTTTTAGCATTGTTTCAGTACAAGGAACAGTTTAGGTTTACTAGAGGGAAGCAGATAGTAACGTGTAATGAAACTTTGTAAACTGCATCACTGCAAGTTCTAAACTTGTTACAATAAGCAGGCTGGGCGTTGTCACGAGAATGAAAACAGTATGCAGCAATAATAAAAGGGTATTGGTCAAATGGAGACCCTATGGAGTTTGTGGATTGAGCAATTCATGGGAACCAGGAATACACACACATTCTATAGAAGATTGATCATGAGCATATCACATATGAGCCTCATAGAAGTGTTGCGTGACCTATTTAACAGCCATATTATTCCTCTTCTAAAGGTAGCCTTTAAAGGGTAGTGATAAACGTAACCGTGTGATTGTGGATTCCTTTCAACTTACATAACTTGCCGACCTTTTGACCAATTAGATTTCACTAACCTTGTATTTTCTGAACTTTTGGTTTGAGAGATCAAATTCACGATACTCCTGGCAATCTTTCTTTCTTCAACTAGTCAGTGTTGTTTTCCATTTATATGTGTCAAAGTCTCCATCATGCTGCCATGGACGTACATATATATAGACAATCGATAACATATAGGAATACTCTGAATTTTAAGTACCAAGTAAAACTTCAGGGATTCACTGGCTTCATTGCAGCTAACTTTAAAACTTACTCTCTCACAGGGTCAGCGGTAAGTTTATAACTTATATTATGTCAATAAAATCCGGGGTTCGATTACCTTTAGTGAGCATATAGAAAAGAAAGCCTATTGTGTAGCATTGTGTTAAAACAAACAAATTTGGAAACTTTGAAATTTGTCATGAGAAAACGTTTCTATATCACCTTGTATAAATGTAGCAAAGATTTTGGAGTTAGTATTTTTATATAAGAATATTTAAGCACTTTTTGAGCTTGTACTATGTGTTGTACTATGTATGTTCTATGTGTTATTTGTAAAATAACTTCTTTAAATGAAATAATATGGATCTATTTTTAAATAAAGATTCTTTTTTTCTATCTTATAATAGAATGTTTAAATAGGTGGCGCAAAGAGTTGCCCTCAATGTATGGAGGAAATATGGAAGATTTTGACGAAATATTCGAAGAAAGGGAAGAAGAAGAGCGCTTTATAGATGAATTTCCCACTAGCATGATTGCCGACCCTGTTGTTATTAGAGGTGCTGGAAACATGACAATGTAAGTTAATAATATTTGGTCGGGGATTGTGATAAACCCTGTGATCCAGTTTGTGTCGCTTGAACTGAAGTTTGACTGTTTGAGGAGTAGAATATGAGTATGAATAACGTGATGTTAAATCTTACATTATGATGCTACTACTAGTACTAATAGAAAGGTATCTTGGATGGGAAGGTTATCATATGATTATGGGTACAGGTTAAGGTTTCTTAAATTGTTCTGTCTTAAGAAAAGGATAGTTAGAGGGTATCTAAATGAGGTGTTTAAGTCAAGATTATTAACTCGGGGAAGTGACTGTTTATACACTATCTTATTTTGTATATAATCATGATAATGCCATTAATGGTGAGAATGGTAGGACTAGGAAACACAAATACAAATTTTGGCAGGACAGGTTTAGATATGGTGAATGCAGTAAAATCTGATTTAAGGAAGTTTAAGGAAAAGCTGGATAAATATTTAAATATTTTATATTTATTTTGTATAGTTTAGTTTAGTAGATGGTAAAACCTATATGGACCAAAATGTCCCTTGTTCTTAAATTTTATTATTGTTAACTTGTACAAATTATAATCTTAGAAATGTAGACAACTTTTAAGTTTTATTGAACTGGACAAATTATATATATTAAATTAAATAGTTATTAGGTGAGATTCCTTTGTTTTTTATATTTTATTGTTATTTTGTTCATATTTATCATTTTATTACCTTTTCCTCTATCATTTTGTTGAGCTTTTTCTTGACTTTTTTATGCATTATGTTGTCTCAGTATAATAGTAATTTTGCAGTGAAACATAATTACTGATAATTATAGTCTGTGGCCATATGTAAACTAATTCGTAACTGTGTGAAAATAAGTTGATCAGATGTTTTTCAACAGCCTATAATTGTGCTAGGTTAGATTATTAGCATGTCTGGTAGTTGTAGCAAATAAAAGTATGACAGAAAAGAGAATTGAAGACTGGTATGCTAGACACTTAAGAATGTAGAGAATAGTTTGAAAATTTTGAAACTTTGCAAATTATAATTAATCAAAGAGTGTGTGAGTATTGTACTTTAAACAGGTTTTTTAGTAGTTTTCAGTGTTAATTGTTTATTTTTGGTTCTTTTTCACAATTTCTCATGTCAAAGTTATATTGTTAAGTTAGAAATTCTTTGAAGTTTTAGATGAGTTGGTTGTCAGTATATTTTGTTTAAAATGTAGAGTTCAAACAAATACTATTATTATTTTTTATTTCAAAAGAATATTGGTATTAATGTTTGGTTTATTCTTAGTATAGAATAAAGGATTTATATCAAAAGTAAATGTGGCAACTTGCATTTTTGAATTTCAGTTAATTAAATGTGGAAAACTGACAAAGCAATACAGTAAAAAAGTGCTTTCCAAAAATGGCAATTTTTGAGGTCGGACTTCTGGGAACTTTGCCCTCCCACAATTCAGTGTCTGCATAACAACTGAGGCAAAGGGGCAAACAAATAGCGTGATAAAGGGGAAATCCCATTCATTTCATACACTTGCTCACTGTCTAGACTCTTATTCAAAACAACTATTTGTAGTTGTGATGATATTTTGTTGTTCCAAACCTGCAAATATGGTGAAAAGTTGTTGTGTATTCAATTTCACCAATGGCAAGTTGAAAATACCTGAAATTTCCTTCTATTTGATACCCAGTCAAGCTACTGAAAAGGAGAGAAGAGTTTTGTGGCTGAAAGCTATCAACTGCAGAACATAGGAAGCAAGAGGAAAGCTGTGGGAGCCAAAGTTGACAATACCTATGTGTGTTACATACCTTGTGTTTTCACAAGGTAATTGTACACGTGAAGGTATTGCACACTGGGCCATTCTGTCAGATTGTTGATCCATGAGTCAGCAGGGTGTTGGTTTGGACAAGAATCAAGCCCAATTTATTGTAACTTTACTCAATATCTCACTAATGTCTTGGCTGACAACTTTTCCATGTATTGATAAGACATTGTAGTTGATAACTTTACTATCAAACACTAATATATGAATGATAATTAAATAATTTGCATAGCAGCTTCAGCAGTAACACTTGTATACGGTACATCTATATAAAATGCATATTTCCAGCTGTACTTGCTTCATTATTCTTTGCTCCTTTGTCAAGATTATGATTGTGTTACTAGGACTGTGGCATCAAACTGACCACAGGAATAATAGGGCTAATAAAGTTATTTAAGTATTCTTGATAAAAATTACCATCTGCTGCAGATTATTTTGTTTTCACATTCCTCTTAATTAGTCTGTTACATGAAATATGTTGCTATATCTGTGTTTATGTCACACTTAATTTTTACCCCTAATATATCATTGATGATAGAATTTGTAAATTTCAAAATGTATGATTAGAGAAATATTTAAGGCTATACTGTGTTTTTGTTTATTATTATTAATCTTCCATTCCTGAACGGTGAATCTGATACTGATCTTGTTTATCTCTAAGTTTGTTACATATTTATTTTCAAAATTTCCTTATTACAAATATATTTGCAGAACATTTTTGATCAGTAAAACATTAGATTAATTAATGACACCATTGTGAACACACACTTCAGTCAAGCATGTGTCACGTAAGTGAAAATAAAAAAATTATTAAAAGGAACAAACTTTTTAATCATTATTACATATAAATAAGTTATATTGATAATAACTAGAAATGTGGTTTTCTTTCAGGTTTGGCTTAAGTAATCGTTTTGATACTGAATTTCCATCACCTTTGTCAGCCAAGGTGAGTTTTTTTTTAGATTATGTGATAGTTTTCATAGTGAATTTCCTCCACATTTATCAGCCAGGGTGGGATTTTCTTAGACTGCATAAATATATATTGGAAATATTGCTTACTACTTATGAGACATCACTAATAACTATTAATATATATTTTGTTCACCTGTATGTATTTATAAAGAAGAGAGCTGTGCTATTAACTTGATTAATCAACGTAATTGATTAATCGATAATCTATAATATCAATTAGTCAAAATTAATATCATGAAAATAGTCAACTAATTGAAATTAGTGTTTCTGATTATTACTGCTTTTGATTATTTAAACTATTTGAGTCTTATGTGAGAATAATTGATTAATGAACCCAATTGGAACTGAAAACAATAAAACCATGAGATTGAACCTGTGTAGATTAGGTGTTCTAAGGTTAGATAGTTTTTAATTTGTAATCATTATAGACTACTTGATCAGACGGATGATATCAAGAAGAAATTGTATAATGATATCAAGGTTGTTACTAAAAATAATACTGACGCAGTAATCATGCCTAACTTAAACACACTGACTGGAATTTTATAGTATAAAATGGTGGTTTACTGATAACGTTAAACTCTTGGGTATTTCTAGCTATATTGGGGATGTTGTGATACTACAAACAGACTTGAATCATTTGTTAATTTGGATAAAGAGTTGGAAATGATTTTGTTGAAATTTAAAAGATTTTCTGGAGGGATTGGTAAGATAGAGGTATCTGATTTCTTAGCGCTGCATTCTCAAGATATGAGGATGAGTGGACACAAGTTTCAGATTTGCAAAATAGGCTAGGCTTCTGTAAGGATAATTTTGGTTTTCTAATAGGATGATTGACCGAGTAGCCATTGGTATTAGTGAAGGTCAGCACTTTCCAGGAGTTAAGAAGGGAAACAATGATTTTCTGAAAAGGAAAATGTGGGTTTTGATTTTTTTTGTTTTCTCAGGAACAGCTTTGAAGAACCAAATATTCCCTTCTTGTCTGTAAGTTATGTTATGGGTTATATATTTATAGTTTGCTACTTTTTCTTTATTAAACTATACCCATGAGCAGTTATGCAAAGAGATGTTGCCAAAAAATCTACTACTATGCTGCACAGTCATGCAAAACATAAACATATTTGAGAAGAAAAGTCAATAACTTTATCACTGAACAATCATGTAAAGAATGGGAATAAACATGTGACTGAAAGTGTAAGTTGGTATACAATTCTGTATAATCTTATAAAATGTAGGAGTAAACATGAAACAAGAAAAGTAAGTTAGTACAATCCTGAATGATCATGCAAATACTAGCAAGAAACAAGTGTTACTAAAGAAATAATTTCATCATTTTGCTACAGAAATTCACCTGTGTACAAACTAGGACTGGGTACTTGCTTTTCACCAAAACAAGTCCATACAATTATATTTAAGCTGTTTATAAAATACCACTATATGGAGAACAGACAGAGGAACATCTACTATTGGACCATATTGTTGCTCATAGTATGTTATGAGTTTGTGATTTTAAATCTTTTTTTCAACAGAAATCTTTTAAATTATCCATTTTTGTTGCTTTTATGTGTCTTGTTTTACAGTTTTGATGCCATATGAAAATACTAATGGAGTTTTATAGATAATGTTCTTTGAGAAGAACTCCATCTCTTGTTGAATAATCTGTTTTCTAGTGTACTTTTAAGATGTGCATTCTTATTTACTTTAAACAGTTTTCTAAATCTCCGTTATGTCAAAGTCCAATAAAAGACTAAGGTAAGATATTTACCCTTCAAACCCCATTTATTTAAAAACAACTATAAGTAACTAATTTGTGGAGGATTTATGAATTCACTGGAATCAAAAAGGATTTGGGGTTTCTTCATTAAATAGACTTAAAAGATTTTACCTAATAGTAGATGTCTTGGCTTTTAACCCAAATCCAAAGACTTGATAACATGCTCAAAAGTGTCATTTTCGATAGTAGTTTATTCACCCAAGAATGTGAATAGGTTGACAGCTGTTGGAAGGGGAAGATTAACTTTTGAGCTCAGCCCAAAGTTTTTTAAGATCTGATGACTGAGTTGAAACAATTCGGATGCCACTGTAAGTTGTTTTGATATGATGCATTTTACATCAGTGTTGAATTTGATCATTAAAGTTTCCTCCTATGTCATAATAACACTCTACACCAGGGGTTCCCAAACTTTTTAGAATGGCGACCCACTATTCATGACCACAGCTTATGGCGACCCACTCAAATTTACTGGGCAAAAACATATGAAAGAATATAAAAAATATTATTTATTCATATTCACGTATTTCAATTACATTTAAAAATACTCACGTATTTTCAATAACATTTCCAGAACTTATAAATGCTATCTAATTGATTAATAATGAGGCGTGTGTGTGAAGGATCTGCTTGTTTCTTGTTACTGTCAAGAATGGCATTGACATCAACATAAATGTGGGTTA